TCTTTGGTTTTGACTGTGGGGACGACTATTGTTAGCATGCCTAGTACAATAGATGTGGCGTTGACAGTTCTTTGCCTGTACATGCGGACTTGAATGTTTAAGCCAACATTACGGTTTCCCAGCTGTCACCGTAAGTGCACTATTGCCTTGCAAGGCACGAAAAATTGAGCTGTTACATGTTTGGTGCGAACATTGACGGCACGTCAGCTGAGCTGCTGTAAAGGGCCTAAAATGTGCTGGTGAGCGTGTGTATTTCTAGTGAACGTTGAATGGCCACTGCGACGTAGGGGCTGTGTTACCCTGATGCTAAATCGATGTTCTACTCAGGGCGAAGGCGGAATCTCTTTCGTGGTTAGCAATCCTATTTTCCTGTTTGATTCAAAGCATTTTCCAACGACGTGCCAGGTACAGCTTCTGTATGCCACGCGAACTCAAGAGCTGAGCGGACGGTTTTGTGTGGCCGGTTTTGCACTGGGGGAGAATATGCAGGTGCTGACGCATGCTAAACTATATGGGGCATCGCACCACTTTTGTGTAACGTTTGCGAGCGTTGCGTTGGAAGTATTGGACCGTAGGAATGCGATACGAAACGCCCAGCAGTGACGAGGCGTTGATAAGAAGATATGCCTTAGCGTGCAGATGCGTGTGTGCGTTGTATTTGGGGGAAGGCACCCGAATGAATAGCCTTTGCGCAGAGAAGGAAAGGGTGTGTTTATGCGTGTGCAGGATGTGGGGGCCTGCTGAATGCGTGCGTTAGCATACCGCCGCCGTCGCCGATAACTCTTAAGCGTGCTTTGAGCAGGTACAAGCTTTAGGGGTGGTTTGCCTATGGACTTTGCCAGGCAGTGCTTTGGCCGTTTCCCAATGCGTTCCGTCTGTAAGTAGGTGCAATGTTGTTTGGTGGAAAAGGTATTGAAAGGTAGGCAGAGGTTGGAACTGCAGAATGGCAGCAAAACTGCCCAGCTATGGTTTGTGGGTATACCGAGGTGGTTGTTTGGAGAGGCGTTTGCGAGGGCCGCGCGTGGATTTTGGATGCTAGTGCTGAGCAACAAGAGACGTTGTTGCGCTGTGGACAGGAGAGTGTCCGATGGAGTGGCCATGATCTTGTGCGTAATTTGTGGTGAAGGTGTGTGGTTCGTCGAGTTTGCCTATCAAAAGAAAGGGATGGGCGCAGTGACTTGTTCTTGGGTTTGCAGGGAGTGCGTTGCATGGGTGGAGGAGAGCCAGAAGAGCAGAAGGCATGGAATGTTGTTAGAGCGTGGGCGCGTTGCTTGGTGTGGTGCAGTGTGAGAACAGCGAGGCGTTGGAATATGCGATAGTTTCATTTGAGTTGGGATGATTTGCGAATAAGTGTTTTGCGGGAGGTTTAAAGCATAGCGGAGGCGAATGGTCGTCGCGATGTTAATATGGATTGGGTGACGGCGCTGTGGAGGCAAGCACGTTGCCACAGCAGCCGGAAAGCCACTATGACGGGCATGTCACGTCTGGCGTTGGGTGTTTGTGCGGGCGCGCATTGGGGTGCACCTACCTGTCCGCGTAGCAAAACGAATGCGTTCTCCCAGGAGATAGTGGATTCTGTAGTATGCTTGTCAGCGCCAATTGTTTGTTCGGTGTGAATGATTTGCCAGCGAGCGATCTAGGGCATCGTGATTAGTCAAGTGCACCACGGTGGCTAATGTGCTAAGCGAACTGTTGGCTTCGACGGGCGTTGCATTGGGGGAAGCTGTGGAGGTGGAGAAGCATGGAGGCCTAGAGGGCGCTTTCTGCAGTGTTTTCATGTCAGGATTGCGAGCGCTGCGTTGGAAGTATTGGATCGTAAGAATGCGGTCTGGAAGGTTAAGCAGTGACGTGGCCTTGATAAGCAGATATGCCTTAGCGTGCAGATGCGTGTGTGGGTTGTATTTGGGGGAAGACACCCGAATGAGCAGCCTTTGCAGGGTGTGTTTGTGCGTGTGCAGGATGTGGGGGCCTGCTGAATGCGTGCGTTAGCATACCGCCGCCGTCGCCGATAACTTTTAAGAATTGGTCTGTTTTGAGCAGGCGCATGCTTTAGGGGTGGTTTGCCGATGGCTTTCCGAAGCAGTCCTTCGTCCGTTTTCCAACACGTTCTCTGTGTGAGTAGGTGCAGTGTTGTCTGATGGAGAAGGTATTGAGAGGTAGGCAGAGGTTGGAACTGCAAAATGACAGCAAAACTGCTCAGCTGTGGTTTCCGTGTATACCGAGGAGCTTGTTTGGCGAGGCGTTTGCCAGGGCCGCGTGCTGTTTCAGCTTTTGGATACTATTGCTGAGCGACCAGAGACGTCGTTGCGCTGTGGACTGGAGAGCGT